TCGCTATGCGCTACGACGCCGCCCACAAACGGTATGGGTGTGCGATGTCCACGAGAAAGCCGTATTGCTACAACAAACTCGCTTACCATCGGCACTAAGATCTTGTTAATTGTATACCTCCATCGACCAGAACCACAAGAATACGTCGAATCAGGCGCAGCACACCCGCAGATCCATCACAAGACGCAATACCGTAAGTAGCAGTAAGCATCAATGCAACAATCACACGGGTGGCGCCCCCTCACAACACACCCACATGATCCCTATCGACTTTGGTTACAAAGTTTGTATTGTTGTTAACTAAAAAATATCACAAACGTATTATAGTAGTACGCTACTAAGACGCCAATGAACAAAACTCTACGTATCATAGCGCTAATGCACTAAGACATGAAGTTGAGTATGCCTGTTACACTTAAAAGTGCTACCAAACACACTCATCCCAATCCGAAAGATAGACGACGCATCGCTATGCGCTACGACGTCGCCCATAAACGGTATGGGTGTGCGATGTCCACGGGAAAGCCGTATTGCTACAACAAACTCGCTTACCACCGGCACTAAGATTGTTGTTATATACAACTGCACCAACGTATCATAGTAGCACACTACTAAGACGCCAGTGGACAAAACTCCACGTATCATAGCGCTAATGCACTAAGACATGAAGTTGATTATGCCTGTTACACTTAAAAGTGCAACCAAACACACTCATCATCCCAATCCGAAAGATAGACGACGCATCACTATGCGCTACGACGTCGCCCACAAACGGTATGGGTGTGCGATGTCCACGGGAAGGCCTTATTGCTACAACAAACCCGCTTACCACCGGCACTATGATGATATGTCTAGGACACATCGGTTAGCGAGCCCAAGTTTACCTCGGACCAATTGCTCGTGAAGCAGCATACACGCCACCATAATATTTCTGTTCAAGTCTCTAATAAGGACTAGTCATTTTGCTACAGTACTAGGAGCAGTCGGTCACCCGAGCACCCCATACAATGCTTATGCATCAAGGAGACCTCCTTTAAATCTTTAAACCTACTCAAACATTCAGACCCCCTCTTTGTAATGCAATTCATCGGAGACCTTCCATAGTATTGCTTTTGTATCATAGACCTTACTTTCATAAGTCATTCATATATAGGGCTCGAACCCACGACCCTACTATTGTAATGCATATTCATCGTAGAGACCTTCTATAGTATTGCTTTTGTATCATAGACCTTACTTTCATAAGTCATTAATATATAGGACTTCAACCCACGACCCCACTATTGTAATGCAAATTCATCATGGAGACCTTCTATAGTATTGCTTTTGTATCATTGAGTTTAATATCATAAGTCCCTAATATAGGACTAGTCATTGTGCTACGGTACTTCAGGCAGTCGGGCTCCCGGCCACCCCATATATATGTACAACTGCAGGTATGTATCTCCGGCAGCTCCTCCATACAAGACACATAGGAAATTTCTTTTATACATGAACTCCTTCCAAGACTTAGACAATTTTTAACAAATTTTCTAATTATCTTATAAATGTTATTTATCTTTATTTTTATAATATTTTCGACTTGTATTCCTATTATTTATCTTATTTTATATATTTTTCCAAGTTTTTAATAAATTTATTTATTATGGAAGACAATGTCTGAAATGTATTTATATTAACTTTATGTTTATTAATGTAATTTTATTGCTTATTATATATATTTTAAGACGATTTTTGATGCCCCTTTATATTAAATTTAATTATTAATAATAATATCGGGCCGTCACAATATGCAGAAGAAACAGCGTTGGTGATAGCAAACAGCCTTGTGGAACACCAGCATTAATAGGCTTGCAATCGGAGCTCGCACCGTCTACAACGACCTTGATGCTCCGATCTGTAAGAAAGCTGGTGATTCAAGCGCACAATTTCTCGGGAAGCCCATAGGAAGGGAGCTTCGAAAGAAGCGCTTTGTGCCAAACCCGATCGAAGGCCTTCGCAATGTCCAAACTAACGGCCAATGCCTCCCCTTGGACTCTACTGCCTCCGCCCATCTGTGAGTTAGGTAGACCGCTGACCGACCACGGCGAAAACCGTATTGGCGATCACTAATCAGCTGGTGATCCTCAAGGTACCTCATGAGCTGGCAGTTTACAATGGACTCCATTGTTTTGGAGAACTAGGAGGTGATGCCGATAGGCCGGTAGTTGGACATGTCTGAGCGTACGCCTTTTTTAGGTATCGGGTGGACGAAAGCTGTTTTCCACGATTTTGGGACTACGCCTAGGGAGTAGGAGTACCGGTAAAGATGCGTTAAAACCGGTGCCAACTCTGGAGCACACGTCCTCGGCACAATTGGGGGGATTCCGTCAGGCCCACTCGACTTGTGGATGTCCAGGGAGAGGAGTGCTTTGCGAACCCAGCGCTGTGTGAACTTCACTTCCGGCATGGAGCACTCACACCGCGGGATGGTCGGCGGCGTACTCCCCCCGTCATCGAGAGTCGAGTTGGACGCAAAGAAAGAGCCTAGAAGATCGGCTTTCTCCTTTGCGGTACGGGCCAGTGAGTCGTCCTCCCTGTGCAGAGATGGAAGAGATGGCTGGCAGTAATTCCCCTGGACAGCCTTGGCGAGAGAACAGAATGCACGGGTTCCAGAAGGAAGGCGAACTATTTTCTCGCCAATTCTGCCTATTTGCTCTGACTTTGCCTTGGCAATGACTCTTTTGAAGGACCTAGAGGTGGAAATATACTTTTTTTAGAGCGCTAGTGTTTGCATCCCGGGACGCTAATTTTTATTTTATTTATTACGGAACAGCAAATCGTCCGCGTGGCTCTACCACTGTTGAAGCTTCCACAATCGCCTTTAATTCGTCTTTGTCGACAAAACTTTTCACACTAATGCGTCAGACCAGGCTTGGTAGCACTCCTACTTATAGCATGATGCTATTTTACAGGAGCGACCAAACCATGAGTTTTGCCTCCACATACAGATTTGCACCACAGAGGAAGGAATAAAAAGTTCCATACCCTGAAGTACCACATCAGCGACAGAATCCGCAACAACGTTGGGACCGTCCGGCGAGAAGCAAACCCGCCCCCAAGGGTAGGATGCAAAGAAAGACCGCATCCCATCCTAATCGGCTGACCTATAGTGCCAAACACGGCGGCAGCCTGCAGAATACAACTGCGATTTCAGCGTGAGTGGCACCACACTCCGGACAAGACAATGGTCCGAGGAGCCTAAAGGGGCGTCGACGGAAATCTGATATCCGTTCGGGTGAGGGATCAGCAGAAGGTCCAACAGGGATGTTGCATGATCCTCCACATCTGGAATCCGCGTAGGCGAAGTAACCAGTTATGTCAGACCGTATGCCAAGGCAAAATCATGAACAGATCTCCCCGTATGATCGGTTACACGTGAACCAAGCCGTTCGGCGTGATGGGCGTTAAAGTCGACGAGGATCACGATCTCTGCGGAGTGGATCTACTGTAGCAATGAATCTGTAGCCATTTAGACGTGGTCGAAGAGTCGATCTGTTTCGGCATTACCTCTATGGGACCTATAGAGGCACCCGTAGACGCGCGGATGGTCATTGCTGTCTACGCGTAGCCAAAGGATGGACAGGTCCGAACCTTCAAGTCTTCCAAGGAGTCGAGAACAGATGTCCTCTCTGACGTAAACGCAAACTCCAGCCCGAGGCACAAAAGAGTGTTCCAGTTTGTACCCCTGGTAAGAGAGATACGAGACATCAGCCGGAGAGGACACCTGCGTCTCGGTCAAAAAGAGCAGAGCCGGCCTCGCCGTCTCAAGATGCTAGTCGACGGCGTTTAGGTTAGAGTGAAGTCCTCTGATATTGCAGAAATTCACGGACAGCGTGGCAGGGGTTACCTTGGTCTTGTTGCTCCGTTTGCCCCGAGCAGTTGTAGTCTTGAGTGGAATTTTGCCCCCCTCCCCGAATACGCGGGGCAGCCTGAGCACCTACGCTCAGAAGTGGAGAAACATGTTCGTGGATGTTCAGTGAGGGATACTCCAGGGGTGCTGATACCCTCCTGGGGTAGTCTATTATCATTTAATTCCACTACCATGTTGATGGGGGGGGGGGATTTGGGCTTCCGGCCACCTGCCCTCACCAGACGAAACGCGGAAGCAGGGCTTCCACTTCACGCCGGTATTCTATGAGGTCGTGGTACCACCCCGGTTTGAGCCGGCCCATATGTGCAACAGCAAAGCTGCCGCGTGGCTCTACCACTGTTGAAGCTTCCACAATCGCCTTTAATTCATCTTTGTCGATAAAAGTTTTCACACTACCACATTTTTAGTTCGTTGCTAGGTCGTTCGTAGGCATTTTTCAGGTCAAAACTTCCAGAACGGAAGTGATGACTCCGTGGCGCAGTGGCTTAGCAATGAGTGGCTGCGCTGGGGGTCGCGGGTTCGAATCCCGCACGGAACAAGTATTTGTATGGCCTACATATAGTTGTTCCAGGTCTGGATGTTTGTCCTTGTGCAATTTATGTTTGTAAACTGCCCCCACGATACAAGAGAAAATCTTAGTGTAGGGGTAACGTTTTTTAAATAAAATAAAAAAAACTTATATTCCATAATTAGTCGAATTTTTAACATATCTATGATGACGAAAGGATTCCCAGAAAAAAATTTCCATGTTTTTAAAATAAAATTTATTAGAAATTAGAATTCTTAGCCAAACAAAAATTATGTTGATTTAAAATGGCCAGTACTGCAGAACGGAAATTGCATATTATAAAGAAATTATGTTCAGAGTAAATGCGAAAAATGATTGATATCGGATGATTCGATAATATAGGATCGGTTCGATATATCGAATGTATATGTCGATATGATATCAAACACTTATATCGAACACTCCTACGAACCTATTATGTCATTTAGACAGCTGATGGCAACCTAAGGTCCTCTAAAAGCTTAGGATTTAGCAATTTATTTATTATAAATTGTTATCCTTAGACCCGCACTTTGAGAGTATCATCTATCGAAGTAAGTGATAAACAAAACAATATTTATGCTTATGGTAATAGCTTGTTTCTTTTTGGGGTATTTATTTAAAAAAATTCTACGTAATGAGTTTCCATGCATAATATTATATAACATTCTGTAGCTTTTACTGTTGAATATTCTCGCTTTGATATGATTTAAATGCTAATTTTATTTATTTATTGCAATTTTGATTGTAAGGCAGTCTTCTACGTAGATAGATACATTAGATCTTTACTAAAAAGCAGATATTCGTCTCATTTTTTGGCCAAACAAGGTTAGGAATTAGTTGTGCAGTATTTTATTTATATATTCAATTTTACAAAACCTACAATCGATTGAAAATTAGTTTGATAATTGGTTCAAACTTTTATGAGCTATAGAGCTTATTTTGTTCAAGCTATCGTAAAATACTATATTGAGGAAACGCATTGTTTTCGCTCTATTTATTATTGAATATATTATTTACTCACGTGAAATATACGATTTATTACCGCTAAACATATTTGTAGCATATTATTGTTAACTTCAATATTAAAACAATCTATAAAAGTTTTATGTATCGTATTTTCGTTTATAATATCTAAAATAAGGAGAATTTTCGATTATAATATTTTTTCAGAATTTTTAAGAAGGAAATTCTGTCAATTTATTTTTGAAAACATCATGACTATCTCCTTTAGAATGGATTGAGGTGATGGCTATGGGTTTCTTAAGGTAGCCAAAACAAGTATTTTTTTACATAAGATCAAAAAATACAGTACAACAGTGAAGTTCAAACATATTACACTCACAGGTACGGAAACTTAGCCAATCGTGAATTTGCTGATTATTTGCCCTGAAATGTTTTTTTAAAAGTAAATTAAAGGTAAAAAAACGTAAGATTAGATGAGATTTGACTTGACTCCCTCCCCCCCTTAAACATCTCACGTAATTTAAGGACGCCCCCTTATTGACGATGACCAACTCTGTATGTGCCTTGGAACTTACACCTCACCATACCATTATTGAGCCTCCATGGAAACTCACAGTTTGCATGGTGGTAATGGGTAGAAACCTCTCTCCTCTTTTTCTCTACACTCTTTCTCGACCGTCTGGAGCATGTAAATCTGTGAACAACACTCTAGCCTATTGCTCGTGAGTCTAATTGACATGTTCTCTTGCGAACTGAAGTCAGGCTACTCAGTGGTGTCTGAGAAGTACTGAACCTCGTGCTGGTCTACGAGCTTTTAAATTAATTTCCTCTCCTTATCGTACTTTTGTCTTCTTATCATACGCTCACTAACAATAACGCCTCTGGTGTATCTCAACAGCGGTCAGGTAGCGGTTTCTTAAAATCTCTAGAACAATAAAATCGTCCCAAGCCGATGTGCAACTTGTGCCCCCACTGCCTGGCCTGCGGGTGTAGCGCCCTGTCTCTTGGTATCGTTTCAGTGCATACTGCATTGAGGACCATGGTACGTTAAGCACAATAGCAACTTGACCCTGTGGCAGCCCTTGGTCAATTAATGCTACTGCTTGTGCAACTTGTGCTGGTGTTAATGGCATTTTTAATGATTTCAAAGAACCTTTAGATATTGAATTAAGACACAGGATAACAATAATTGTATAACCTTACAGTAAATTTTTCAAACACAACACAAATTTAAAATGTGAACTTAGTCGCTCAAATGACCCGATTCAACTAAAAATTAAAGAATTCGTCATGGCGCACTTAAACATGATGAGTTACCCTCTTGAACCTGAGGGTAAACATTTTTTGACATACCGGTATAACAAACATTCATCAGAAACACTTAAAGCTTTTGCCATGGCAAGGTAAGCGCTTGGCCAAGATTCCGTGCCACTGAGTGTATGTTAGAAACCTATTATAACTCCTAGTAATATGCTGAGGGCAATGATATGTGGAAATAATTCTTATTAAAGGTCTCCTGACTTCTGATATTATTTTAATAAAACTGACATTTAAAAAATATTTATTGGTTATTGACCATTGTACCAGATAACAAACAGCTATCCGGCCAGATACCGGATTTAAAAAAAACAGAAGATATCAAATTAAGTTAAGTACTTCATTTATGTCACTTAATAAATATAATCAGTAATCACAAAATTTCATTTTAAAACTTAGAAAATTAGTACTCATTCTGCACTAAGGCACAGAATAAATAATAGTACTATGTAGCTAAAGGCAAACTATGGTGAATAAATACTAATTTCTCTGCATAGAAACGTAACAAGCGGTTTCTTTTATCTTCATAAACAAGGCCAGCTTCAGAAAAAAGTTTGCACTACCTTTACTTTTCGTTTCTTGCGATGCACCAAATGGCAATTATCTGGCAGAATATCCGGCGGTCGGATATCCGGTTATCCGATGATAAGACTGGCCGAATATCCGGTATCCGGCCAAACAGCTATCTGTTTCATCTCTAGTAATAAGTAGTTTTTCAGACCACTTTAATACGAAATGTGCATTTATCGGTATAGTGTATGCCTAGAAATTGGATGTTGTGTATTATTTCCACAATTAATATTTAATTTAAGACTGTTTAAGCATATTCTAGTAAATAATATTTGTCTGATTATGGTGAACCAGGTCCGGCTCAATAGACCCTGAATTTAATTTCTTTTTTTTAAATAAAATGCAGTAATTTGCTCAATTGGCCTTTACTGATCTTCAAGACAAATAAGTACAAAAGTTTTTAACCATTGCAGCACAACTTACAAACTAACATGAAAACTGTTATTAGATTTTTGCAGTTATATCAACAGACTTCTAAGGTTTAAGATAAAATACTTTACAGCCTTTAATTCTAGTATAACTCCGTATTTTGCACACCAGAACAGCAATATGAATATCATATATAATCAATGTCTCTTTTAATTTCCGACATACTGTTAAAATATTTACAAAATGCCCAGTAGTCTTGTAACAGGATTTTTTTGACACTCCTGGGCCCCTGGCCCTAATATTCTTGTTACAGACCTGAGGTAAATGGTTACAGTGGACAGGGGCTGCACTTTGCGCCGTTCCAACTCTCTCGCTTTCTAAAAATAATATAATAATAATAGGGTTATAAAAATACGTAATCACGACGTCGTCGACAGCTCAAGTTGATCAGCAGCGCAGATACGCAACTTCGCATGGTTGGAAATGAAAATGTGAAAAGAAAAAAATAGTGATTTAATGAATGAGTGAATGAGACTAGTCTAGTAGACTAGTCAATTAATTTAAGTTATGTAAAATAATGTACTAAAATTACATAAATATCTATAGATCATTTGTGATGTTTGAAATCTAAAAATCGTATATTGCATATGTGAAAAATAATTTCAAAAATTAGTAACTTGAAATCAATGTTATTTTTCAGTTTAATATTGTTTGGTAGGACTAACAACAACAAAATCTGTCCCTAATAAGTTTAGTCTTTCAAATTTATTATAGGTTGGGTTGTTTTTAGTTACATGTTCTTGTTTATTGTAACTAAAATAATATTATATAACTTACAGAATGGCTCTGGCATTCCGTAATGTGCTGAGAACAGCAGCAAGAAGGATTCAAGTGCGAAACTATGCTGATGCTTCAAGTGCAGATGAAATGGCCTTGACATTTGCGGCTGGTAATAAGGTAAAGATTATCAACTGATTAATTGTGAAAAAATACCAGAAAAGCTGTAAAATTAAGATTTCTTTACATGTCTAAATTTTCAATATTAAAATTACTAATTAAAAAAAAACTTAAGGTGTAGATGGCTTGCACTTGTTTAGGATTCAAAAGAATCAGATTTTTTAAAAACAGTATAATCTGTTTTTATAATATATCAATAATACTTATAAGTATACATAAAACAATGCTTATATATTTTATGTGGTAGAGCCATGTTACAGCTATATTACGGTTTTAGCCTTTCAACTTAATAAATTAGGCATTATTCAGACAACCACTTCAATTTTTTAGTTTCATCTGTATAGACTAGATAGAGAATCATTTGTATAGATTTCTCATAGTTCATTTAATAAAGTATGGGAAATCTATACAAATTGAAGTTCATGTTAATTGCCTTAACATGAACTTCAGCATTAAGACCATGACTGGACTGCAAGGAAATAGGTTTTTGACAATCTGCTGTCATGCTTAACCCGAACAACCAAGCATCATAACCGAGAGTGATTTAGTTTAGGTCATATTGAGGGGAACTATAAAAGTTTGACGAAACCATCATTCCTTATTCTCCTCTAAAACTGGATCAATTTTTTTTTCAAGAACAATATAAAGAAGATAAGAACAGGAAAAGAAAGAACAAAAAAAGAGTGTGTATGTCTGTATTTTTTATATAATATCAATTTGTTAACTGAACATCGGTATAATTAGGAGTTTAGTAATTTTAGAAGGTTCCTAGTTTTTAAAATAATTTGACAAAACATAGGAATATAGCAGTGGCTCTATTGTCATTATCCAGGGAGAATACATAGGAATTATGTATTCTCCCTGGATAATGACAATAGAGTGAATGTATGGCCTAAGCGCTAACCAGTTGTAAAAATAATTGGATAATTAAAGTTTGAAAAAAACCTTAAGAAAAACGCTAAAGATAAAATTATTTTATTTTATACTGGAGATTCTGATCAGGATACTAGGATAAAATTAATATTTTATTGTATTGTCACAAATTTTCAAGTCAATTGGACATCTACAAGTTGGTGAAAATTACATTAAAAGATTCCATTACATAGATAGATAGATACATGCGAAGCTAATAAAAACGTGTTTAAATTATGACTGTCATTGTCATAAAAGAAATCAAGACTGTCATTGATTATTTAGAAGTTTTATTTAATATTTTTAACCTATAATATGTATGACTTTATTTATAAAATATTTACTAAATATTATTTATAGAATATTTATTAAATATTATTTATAAAATATAAAATGTATGACTTACTTATAGTTTTTTTATACTAGGTATGGATGTACAGATTTCATTTAATAATCCGATGGTTTTATCATTAACATTAGTAGTACTTGATGTAATTGTAACTTGTTGCAGGTGTTTTTCGACAAAAAAGTTGTGAAACAAATTGATGTACCATCTTTCAGTGGATCTTTTGGTATATTACCAAAGCATGTCCCTACTCTAGGTAAGAACAAATTCATGTGCATAAAATAGATTCACTTCTTTTAGAAAGGAGTATGAAACAAGCTAACAGTTAACTTGACAGTATGCAGCTATTGCAGCTTATGGATACTTGCAAATAACTCAAAACAAAAAAGGTTTCAGAAGCATTGCTATTCCTGAATACTTAGATACTATGCCAGCCTGTAAATTTTAAACTGGAACATAACAGTGGATGCTCTGGTTTTAAGTAGCAGAAATATTTAACAACTAAGACTAATTCTTAGGTGTATTAACAGCCTTATCACCAAATAATTATATACTTTAGAGCCACGCCGCAGCTATATTATGGTTGTAGCACGAATTGGTCGGCTGGACCGGAGTAGGATCGCGCTCTCACAAAATACCAGCGTAAAGTAGCAGCTTAATGCTGCTGTGTTTCATAATATGATTGTCGCTATAAATAATTCATAATAAGCGGAGACCCTTTTTACTGGAAACGAGGCATTCCATCTCAATCCTCAACGGTGACAACGTATCTGTGTTTTGATTCTTAATTGACGATAAATGTAGATGCAGCATCCACTTACCATCAGGCGGACTGTGTGCTCGTTTGGCACCCTTATTCTATAAAAAAACAACCCACTGAATCATACCCCAGGAGTTTACAAAAATTTGTTTGAATTTATACACTACAGTTAACTCATAATTAAAATATATTTACAGCTGTTCTTAGGCCCGGAGTTGTCACAGTTTATGAAAATGATGGCAAGCAGACCAAAATATTTGTATCCTCTGGGACAATCACTGTCAACGATGATTCTTCTGTTCAGGTATTCTTAGTTGACATTAACATGTCTTAATGACCGCAAACCTTTCACTAATACTTAAGGTTTATTCTTGGGATTTAGTGTATACCGCGTCTGAGTTTCACTATATACCAGATAAGGCTTTAGGCCAGGTTGCCGAATATTAGCCGCCTAAAAACTAGTACTGAGGTATATGTCAATATACATCACTAGTATGCAAGGTTAGTCTATGAATATATCATAGAGCACTCTTACATATGGTATAGAATAGGAAATTATTATTGAGTAGTGTGTAATTGTTGAAAAGTATTGTGAACCTAAAATGTTGCTTAAATTAAGAATTAATTTATATACTTAATAGTAATCTTCTACATAAAGTTATTGAAATATATACAATTGCTGAGTGCTTTCAAGTAATAAGCTTATAACACAACCTGCTGGAACATAGTTCTTAACTTGTTCCAAGCATTTTAAGAATTTGCTCTTATGAAGGAAGAAAATTGTTTTCTCAAACATTTTCCGACATCTGTACAGTGTTGATTTTATTTGCCACCATTCTATTAATTTACATAGATTTTTACTTTGTAATTTATTATAAAAACAAATTTTACTTAACATTTAATTTTTTACATTTTAAACCTTGCTAAAAATCCTGTTGTCACTTACATGGAAGCCTGTTGCTGACTCTGATGTGATTTGAGATGATGATGATGATCCACAATAACTTTTAACTCGTCATTATTGTCTTTAGCCTTCGATCGCGGGATGTTGATGGGGTCTAACTTTTATTTGTTAATTTTAGAGTGACAAAAGAGCCAACAGTCCACCTGATGTTAAGCGGTGGTCACAGCAGTCCATGGCTACTTGCTAAAGACGTACAAACAGTTAAACCGCAACACCCATAATATTTAAACATTAGGTTATACTGTAACAACAAAAATATTGTTGGAAGTTGAACACACGCTACATTTAATCTTTATGTATTTTATTTTACTCAGGTCTCGTTTATTTTATAGCATATTTTTCGATTTCGTATTTAGTAAATATTTATTAATTAATAACATAGGTCTCCCCCATAGACTGCCTCTTAGAGAGGATATTTTCTATTTCAGGTCCCACTTAATTAGGTTTCATTGAATATATGTATATTATACATATTATATATTGATGACTGCATGTCCTAGTGGTCAGAGTATTCGTAGATACACGGGCCGCTATGATGTGAGTCTGGTATAGAAAACCAGTTGTAGTCAATATTTCTATAAAAACAAATAGATTTTGTAAATTATATATTTGTTTCAAATATAATAATTCCTTATAATAGTGTAAAAGGTATTATTGTTGTTCAGGTATTGGCTGAAGAAGCTCATCCCGTGGAGAGTTTGGATCGAAGTGCCGCTCAGGAGGCTCTCAGCAAGGCTCAGTCTGAATTGAATTCTGCTGCAAATGAACAGGTTAATATTTTAATTTCCTTCTTATATATATTCAACTAGAATTATGTTAACAATACAGTGGATATGTACTTCCCCAATCATAGTTGTAATCGTTTTTTCTACGCGTATCGCATCTTTGACCTGCCTCCCCATCGCCGGTCGAGTTATAAAGATGTTGACGGTGGATGTGGCATAAACAAGTGGTAATGAAGAAACCGTCGAAGGCAATGAGAGATTTCTATTAAACTTTTTTACGTGGTAGAGCCATGCTGCAGTTATATTAATTATATAGTTGTAGCACGAATGGGTCGGCTCGACCGGGGAAGGACCACGCTCTCACAGAATACCAGCGTCAAATAGCAGCTTAAAGCTGCTGTGTTTCGTATGGTGAATGTAGAGAACCGGAGACCCTTTTTACTGGAAAAGAGGCATTCCATCTTAGGCCTCAAGGCTGACAACGCATCTGCATTTTGATTCGCAAACGAGGATAGATGTAGATGTCTATGGGCCACAGCAACCACTTACGATCAGGTGGACTGTGTGCTCGCTTGTCATCCTTTTCCTATAAAAAAAAAACTGGAATAAATAAAATAGTATGCATCAATTGTGATGCTAATTATGTTAATGACTGAAATAGGTGTGAGTAATAAGTAACATGCTATTGTTGCTATTTCATGTGGGATTTGTTAGGAGATATCCGATTTTTGTTAACCAGATTTTAGATTTATCAGACAAAAAAAAATGCATAAAATTATTAAATCTTAAAATTTCGATCGATTTTACATTTTTCAAAAGTGTATATTAAACATGTACTTACATAATGTTGATAAATTGATAATAAATAAATTATTATTTTTGGTTAATGTTTAATTTGTCACTTTTCGTGTCGGAATAATTCGGTATCGCTGATTATTGTCTACTCATCATACACATTACAATTACAGGTCTAATATAGACCATTTCCAATTGACATTGGTTTTGTGTTAACTGCATTAGTAGCATATTCGAGTATGCAGCTATTTACCGAGTATATTATGTTGTTAGTATATAAGTACATACTTGTACTTTTTAGTCGTTATTTTATTAGTGTTGTCGCAGTTAGTATTTAAAAATTGGCACTTAAAATTTTATCTATTGATTCTTATGTGCGTAACTGTTTCTTGTTTTACAGGCAAAAGCTGAGGCAGCAATTGCAGTAGAGGTAGCTGAAGAAATTGTGAAGGCTGCATCTGCGTAAAACGATTACCTTTATTCATTATGTAATAAATATGTTAGCGCTAACAAGTATTTAATGTTAAACCAATAATAAACATCAAATCCCATAGTCCTTGCAGATTTATTTACCCTTTCACTTTTATTTTGGCAGCAAATTGACTTATGCTTTTTCTTTGTTTCTTTCTTAAATCGTAACCTTTTCTTTTTTTAAATTTAATCGTTTCTTAAATTTAATCGTAAACGAGCACTACATTATAACATTTACAACATCATTACCGGCCTTTGAGAATGGAGTATGTTATTTTCTTGAAGGTTTCTAAGTCATAATATAATTCCTAAGTGATGATGATCTCTTTGACATGAATACCTTGAATGATTTACCCAAACTCTTCACGCTGGACATACGGGTTGTTAAGTACGAGTCTTTACACTCCTACTGGTAATGCTAATTCCCCTTCACCAATCTGTTGAATTTGAGTTTGAAATTTTGAAATGGATATACTGCCTAATATTTGTCGTCAAACCCGCTTTGGAATTAAAAACAATACGTGTGGCACTCTAGGACTGCCGCGGTAAAGCTATTGCATAGCATTTTTATCAATTTATGCAATTATAATTAATTTTTTATTTTATTTATGCAGTATTAGTAGTTACGTTGTACCAGTTCTGGCGCACTTGTAGAAAGGTTGTACCAGTTCTGGCGCACGACGTTCGTCGACTCACAATCCTAAATCGGCTTATGCTATTGTATTATACTCCTTTGTTCCTATCTACAACACTAATCTGAATCATCAATAAAACACATTACCTAATTTTGTTAAAATGTTTATTTATGAAATACAAAATCTTATTACTTATTATCTATAAAATAGGAGCGAAACATCTCATCCACTAAAATATCGTTGTACAATGTGTTCTCTGTAAATATACTCGTAAAACTATGCATTGAACATCCCTGAAACTTATATAGCAAATACATTAAGCAATATTCGCCACAAACTGAAGTCCACTCATTCTGAATCCTATCAACATTCCAATTCCATCTTTTACAATTTCTTTTAAAAAACTCTAGATGATATCGTACAGGTGCCCGTCCGAATGAATCAAAATATTGACCGACGTCATTCGTATCGATATATAAAGCTACCCAATGTGACCCTGGTTTATCATCTGTATCCAAATTGCATATTATATACGTTGGTACGTGGGTGTACATGGGTAGTTTATTGGCAGCATAAACATTATTTTCTAGAGTGGGGTGAATCTTTTTCAGATGTTGTTGTACATCTAGTGTATCCATAATATTACTGCTATTAGTAGATTATTACAGTACCAATCTACTCAATGACTAATATAGGAATGATCAATTATAGTGATATCTAAATATTAAATTGCTTTCTTTGTGTTATACAAAACGTATTTGAGTCACCAATACACTGAACAAGACATGACAGGAAGGACGTAGGAATGTAGAGATAAGCAACAGAATGTAAGGTAAGCTTGTTGACGCATAAAGATACTATCAATTCTACTGCAGAAATTCTTTAGATTAGAATTATTACTCACTGGTACTATATAAGACCAAGCAACTGCAGTCATGGAGTTAGTGTATGGTCGTTTGACCGCAGTGGATCTATCAATACTACATTTGTGTTACTTCAACGCATCAAAGGCCATGGATGTAAGTGTTTATTCTATTGACAAACTTACTTTTCTTTCTGTTATTTTCTTACGTGTGTATGATTTATTGTTAACAAATTATATTTAAATATTATGTGTGTGTGTATATGGTTAAGCCGTGGTAGCTCAGATGGTTAGCGCAAAATGTAAAATTCGTAGTACACGACCCGGGTTCGATCCCCGCCGGCACCAATTAAATTGTTAATTACAATTTTAAGTGCTGATTTACCACGTGCTCAGCGGTGAAGGAAAACATCGTGAGGAATGCATGTCTGAGAAAATTTCGAAGGCATGTGAAGTTTGCCAACACGCATTGAGGTATCGCAGCGAACATTTCCTAGCCCTAAAACCCTCTCAGAAATGAGAGGAGGCCTATGTTCAGCAGTGGACTTTAATAGGTTGTAACTTTAGCTTTTTTAACTTTTATGATTAAGTGTTAACAAATTGATATTAACATGATAACTGTGTTGTTGCAGAAATCATTGAGCTTCGATGAAAATACCTATAAACAGTATTACTACTCGCCACTCTCCCCTCAAGAAGAGAGTGATGACATCGTCATTAATAATAACACATGCGATGGTGGAAAAAGAAAATCGCAATCGATTGATCATTTTTTTGAAGCTGAATCAAAAATAAAAAAAGAGGAAGCTGTTATCATCAACCGTAGCACGAGCCGCTAGAGATGGTGTATCATACATTTCTACTAATTCTGACGACGGAGACCAAGCGACGCATCTCATCAAAATTGAAATGTACGATATGAAGAAGCTATCCAAGATTCCAACTACTGATCATTGGAAACATGCTTCCACGAGGATTAAATATTACGTAAAGACCAATAAGGATAGCATCTACGACAACACAAACGCCCTCGTATACAATATTACAAAGACAATAGCAGAAAGTGAAAAAGTTAAAAAATACTTTTTTAACAATGACAGTCATTAGCTGATCATTAGTGAATGTGATTCTGTTTACTTAAATTACTTCCGTGTACTCATTATATTCTATTTCTAATCCTTTGTTAGACTTAAATATCGGACATTATTTGAAATTTGGGTATCAGTTGGTCTACCAACACTGAACTGTTACTTACTCTGCTACCTATTTTCTTCTTTACTATAAGGATGGCAAACTTCAGTGAAGTGTGCACCAGTGCTTTCTTCTCCACAACCATGGAAGAGAATACGGAACTATTCAACAGCGAATTAAATCAGGAGTTGTCTAAAGTTTGTGATGAAATGGAGAAGGATCAACTGTTCGATTCATCGTATGATGATGAGTTGTATAATCACTGTGCGATGGTTGAAACACAGTTTAAGTAAGTAAAATAAACATTCATTTCGATCATAATTTACACAATGTCTTGTACAGTTTTTAATAAATTTAAACATTTTAGTAGTCAACCACTACAACTTGGAAGAGGAACGAAGCGAACGAGCAGCAAAGAACCCAAGATCAGCAAAAAACCAACAACGGAAGCGGAAGCGCCTACCTCTGCAGGGAACAGTATCAGTAACGGAGATCAAGTGGAATGTCTAACGTGTCATATATTTATCAAGAAACGGTATTTAGCTAATCATTTTAAAAGTAATGTTCACAAAAATAATCTTTTAAATTCACATAATTCTTTATCAAACGTTAGTGTTATTGAATCTGCTTTTGGAAATAGGATTTTAACTTATAAAATCAAGAGTAGAGTAGATAGTTCGACATTGGTAAATTTTGAAACTCCTGAACTATTTTTAAATTCTATTAAAGATGATATTTTACTTTTAATACAAGAGTGTATTCATCAACACATAATTTTTAAAGTAAACTTCATATTGCATGCTGATTTTGTTCAACAAACTAAAGATATTCATGATACGTTCGATTTTCAAACGCTTAACTATATTATTTGTCAAGGAGATGACTTAAATATTTTTTTTTCATCTTTAAATGATACAATTACTACTAAAATTAGTGCATTTGAAAAAAAAGATAGTGGATGGAGTCTAAAAAACATAAAATCTATAGACATGAATGTTAATAAATTTAACCCCCTACGCGGTACTTCATACATAGATCTTCCTCGTGACATAAAATTAAAAAAGGCTGTTATAAATGTAAAAAGCAAGGATTATTTTTGTTTTAAATGGGCGTTACTCTCGGCGTTATATCCCGTAAACAAAGACGCGGATCGTGTATCATCGTACGTTAAACATGCAAATAAACTTAAATTTAATGGTATTTCCTTTCCAGTTATAATTTCTGACATAGCAAAAGTAGAGAAATTAAATGATATTAGTATTAATGTTTTTGGGTTAGAATATAATAAAGAAAAACGATGTAATTCTATAGTAGGTCCATTATTTTTAACAAAGTGTCGTAAAGATAGACATATCAATTTATTATTTTTTTCCAAGGATACAAAAAATCATTATTGTTACATAAAAAATTTATCGCGGTTAGTTAGTAAACAAATTTCAAAAGACGGTCACATCATGTACATTTGCGAAGCATGTCTACTTCACTTTACATCTAAGGAAAGTTTAAATAACCATGAACAATACGATTGTGCCCATATATGTACAGAATTACCAAACAGTGAAACTTTTAAAAAAAGAATTGGTTTGGTCAACCTATTTCAAATGATAAAATTAAATTTGATAGTTATGAAAAAAAGTTGAAGATACCATTCGTAGTTTATGCTGATTTTGAAGCATTTTTAAAACCAATAGAATCATGTTCTAACGATCCTTCCAAACCTTTCACACACAATATTCAGAAACATGAAGTACATAGTTTTGGTTATTATATAAAATGTTCATATGATGATAAATTATCAAAATATGTAACGTATTGCGGACCCAACTGTGCACAAGTGTTTATGGAAAGTTTATCTAACAATCTCAAAGAAATAAATAGACTTCAAAAATATCCTCCACTTCCGCTAACAAATGAAGACAAAAACCAAATTTCAAATGCAACCATTTGTCATATTTGTGAAACAGAGTTAGCAGAACATTTTTATGATTTTGATTGGTACACCGGTAGTTTTATAGGTGTTGCTCACGAATCATGTAGCTCGAAGTTCAGGAAACCTCGTTATATACCAATATTTTTACACAACCTTAGTCACTATGATGCTCATTTTATTGTTCACGCGTTAAACTTTTGTGATGGTGAAGTCGAAGTTATCCCTCAAAATAAAGAAAAATATATATCCTTTTCCAAAAAATTAAAAATGAATAACCACGAAATTATATTAAGATTCATAGATTCATTTAAGTTTTTATCATGTAAATTAGAAGAATTGGCCAAAAATCTCAGTAATGATCAATTTCAAGAATTACG